TTTTTTTTTTTTTTTCAAAACAAATTTAAATGAAAATTCACAATTTTTTTTTTTTAATAAAAAATATTATTTTACATATGATTGCCAAATCGCTTATTGTTATTCCTTTGTAATTGGTGCAATGATTAATACGATGACTCTTGTCATCGGAGAATGATAATTGCATTTCCTCGAAAAGGAGCCTCGATATTCTCGAGAAAAAAGAGTCAGCAATCAGAGGCTCCGTGCAAGCACGTGAAAGTTCTCCTTTGTACATAATATATACGATAGCGATATTAAACGATAGCTATATAATTCTATACGAATAGGAAGCGACTAATTAGTAGTAGATATGCGTGTTTGTATAGGTGCAAGAAAGAAATAAGCGTTAGCAAAGAAGAAACCCCATTGTTATGGGGAATTTTTTTTCTCGAGACGGCGGAAATATCCGCGTGAGATTATCATTGTATTTATATCGTATACCTTCTTCCACACTCCTTTTTATCCGCTGCCACGTGCAACTGCGTAAAATAAAAGACTAAAATGCAATGGAATGACGTGTATAGATATAATGTTTTTCGCCATGGAATTCTCGAAACGGATTTCCTATGAAGTGAGCGAAATAGAGGTTAAAATAATATTTGAAATAAATTAATTTCTTTATTTTTTTTTTTTTTTTATAGAAAATAAAAAATTGATTTTTACATGATCTAATAACAATGATTATTTTTTAATATGGTAATTTTCTTAATTTGTAATTATATAGAAAAAATTATGATTTATTTTAAATGTTAATTTATTTGATTTGATTTACTTTATACCGTTTATTACAAATACTATTATTACCTCCAGATTTGTGTGAATCCTCGTTGGATCGAGGCCAGTTTAAAAAAGCAACTTAGCTATTTAGATTATGCGATTAATTGCCGATTTAATTTCCCACGTTTTTTGCCTGCGTCTCATCGACGATATCTTCGGTTTCTTTTTGTGAATTTTTTTTTCATTTAAATCTCGATTCTAATGAATCGTATATCGCTCAAAAATATTTTTTGATAAATTAAATTATTGTCAAAAAAAAAAGAGAGAGAGAGAGAGAGAAATAGTGATCTTATTGTTTCGATGAAAGTTGATGGAATTATATGAATCTTCTTGACCTAAGGAGACTAAATTTGATGTTTGATGGCAATTTTAATGAATAAAATATAAAAACGGCACTATTAAAAAAAAATGGCACTATCTTTTTAAAACGAGTTGTGCAATTAAATTAAAATAACTTTTTAACACAATTTTAACACAAAATTATGATTCTCTTTTTGGAAACAAATCATATTAAAAATATTAATCGAAATCGTCTTAGAAAATTGATATTTTTAGAATTGATTTTTTTTTTTTTTTTTTTTTTTTTTTGATACTTCCATTCTTCTTGTTATGTGGTTTCTAATATAAATTAATGTATTCTATTGAAACAGGAAGAAGCAAATTTTTGTTCCTGACGCATCGACGAAACCAAATGAAATTTTTCTTTTGTAATCTATATGTTGTACAACTATTGTGGACAAAGTTATAAATATTATAAATATATATATTGTATATAAGTTATAAATATGTAAGTTTTATGTATTTATAACTTATATGTTTATACATACAAATATAGACCGCGCATATAACCAAAATCTTTTTACTTATTTGAAGCCCATTATAAAATTATTCCTAATATATTTTCAATTGAAAATATACTTCATATACTTCATATATGCATATTTCAAGGCCTTTCATCATGATACAAGTGTATTCCTTTTTTTTTTTTTGTAAAAAAACATGTTTCTAATATTTTTGCAACATTTAATAATTTTTATATTACATTTACATTTACTAATTTAGTTATGTATTTATTTATTTTGTACTCATAAATTTTTTTCAACATTTTTTATTGCAGAAGCTTATTAATCATATCTTATTTTTTGTACGATATCATTTTTTTTTTCACAAAGCTGATATTATTTATTTTAACAAGAAATTATGTGTTACAGGATGAAAGGGATTGGCGGAAGTAACACACGTATTATACAATATAATATATTGTCACAATTTGCTTGTCTCATAAGATCTCCAATTTCCATTTTCTCGTCTAGATCCTAAGCTATTGCCAGATTTTCACACTTTTTTTTCTCATTTCATTTTAATCATTTCAACAAGAATTCATATATTTTATATATTCGCAAAACGTGATTGCAATGTTTTCATTTTTTAATATCACTCTCTTTGCTTAAGCAATCTTCCATTTACTTTCATCTTTATCAATAATCATTTAATCATAATTTATAATTCTTTTTTTTTTTTTTACAAAAGATTTTTCGATTTTTAAGAATTAATTTCACTTACGATCCTCTCAACATCCATTCTCTTTTCACAATACATTCTATTTTGCTTCTACGTTGTTATATTATTATTATATATACAATATAAAAATAATACAACCTCTCTTTTTTATTTAAATATTTAACCTCGATTTTCAATATCGAAGATTTTGGAAATTCAAATGAAAACAACGCAATCACGAGAGAATAAATTGTTTAAACATGTTTTCTCTTCTTCGCAAACTATTTCAAATACACGCTGATATTTTTCAACATAAAAATAATACAAATATCGAATGTTCTGGCGAATGTTTCCACTCTTCATTTTCTTTGTCTTCTTTTTTTTTTTTCGTTATTTTTTTTATCTTACTTACTGCTGACTAATTAATTAATAAATGCTTATTGTCACGTGTGTCTGAGTGGCCATCGACGCTTGTAAAAAAATACAATTCCTTTTCTAACTATAACTTATTTAAAAAATTGCTATCGCTAGTGTCAGTCATAGCACTGGTTCTCCCTTTCTTTTTTTTTCAAAATTTTTTTTAAAATATAACTTATAGTTGTTATAATCAAACGAATTAAATTAATTAATTGATTCAGAATTGAATCTTTGAAAGAAAAAATTATCTTAAATTGAGTGATATATTTAAGTGTAATTAATTGGAAAAATTTATGATTGTTAAAAGTTTCGATTTTTTCTGTTTATTTAGATTTTTTTCTTTAATGTTTAATGTTTTTTTTTTTCTTCGAAAGAGATTCACCTAGCTTTTTTACAACTATTCTTGGTTTATTAAATACTCTGATCTAGATCTGAGATTTAGATCCAACATCAGAAATACTGAAATGTCGAGCATTGACTAGGCCACGCGTCGATAGACACCCTGATGAGTTTTCATGCAAA